TTAAACCACTAGAATTACTTACTTTATTCTAACTAAAAAACATGTTGTGCTTTAGTCTCCATTAGTTATTAATCATCTCTCCCTAACCGTCAAGGAATCAAACTTTTTAAGCTGTTCATAAGCTTCCTTAGGTTCATACCTCTCTTTCACAAGTCCCCTAAATCATTATGTTTTTCTTCCAACATCTTTTGTTTATCATCTAATTTGAATATTACCCCAAAGATTGTTAAACGCAGTAGTCATGAGTGCATGTATTATAGTTTCTATAATCAAAAACCTGGATTTTGTATTTTCAACATGTTTCCAGAAATGCTTTTAGTTATTTTACATAAGGGCGTGACTTAGAAACTTGAGACTTCAATTTAAGAAAACTAACCAATTAATCTTTTCTGACATGTTAAAGAATCTAACAAGAAAAAATTCAATGAATTTTTTGATTTTTTAGGATAAAAAATTTACATGAAACATTTGATAAAGGATTGTCATTGATATAATTTTTTAAATAATCATAATATAATAAATTGATTATATTTGTGATTGGAGTGAAGTTAGATACACTGTCTAACCTTAAAAGTGAATGATTCCAAAAGGAAAATGTTTATTCAACTGGTTCAATTTCGGTTCATCCATCATTAATGCAGCGAGTTTTACTTTTTTTGGTGGATGATGATGGCTAGTCTTCTTGAGTTCCAAACAGTGGAGTCCCTAAGCCTAACCCTCAAGAACACACTCTCTAGATTGATTGAACAATGCAAGAACCTGAGAGAGCTCAAAAAAATTCATACCCAGATTCTAAAGTCCCCAACTTTACACAATAGTGACCAATATTATCTAGTTACCCGACTCCTATATTTTTGCTCCTTTTCGAATTATGGTTCTTTCAGGTATGCCACCAATGTTTTTCATATGATCCAGAACCCTGATCTTCGTGTCTACAACATCATGATCAGAGCATATACAAGCATGGAGGGAGGTGATGACACTCATTATTGCAAGGCCTTGATGCAGTATAAACAAATATTTTTCAAAGAGATTGTGCCCTATTGTCTCACGTTCCCATTCCTTTTAAAGGGTTGCACTAGGTGGCAGGATGGTGCTACTGGCAAAGTTATTCATGCCCAAGTGATAAAGTTTGGATTTTTGAAGGATGTTTTTGTTGGCAATTCTTTGATCAGCTTGTACATGGCTTGTGGGATGTTGAACAATGCCAGCAACGTGTTTGATGAAATGTTGCTTACAGATGTCGTCTCTTGGAACTCAATGGTTATTGGGTGTTTGAGAAATGGAGAACTTGACATGGCAATGGACTTATTTAGGAAGATGAAGGGGAGAAATATCATAACTTGGAATTCCATTATTACAGGATTGGCTCAGGGAGGGAGGGCAAAGGAGTCACTTGAGCTTTTCCATGAAATGCAGCTTTTGGGCGATGATATGGTTAAACCTGATAAGATTACAATAGCTAGTGTCCTTTCAGCTTGTTCTCAATTTGGTGCTATAGATCATGGGAAATGGGTGCATGGTTATCTGAAAAGAAACGGCATAGAGTATGATGTGGTAATTGGAACAGCACTTGTCAATATGTTTGGCAAGTGTGGGGATGTGCAGAAAGCGTTTGAAATTTTCAAAGAGATGCCTGAGAAGGATACTTCAGCATGGACAGTGATGATTTCGGTGTTTGCTATGCATGGATTAGGTTGGAAGGCTTTTGATTGCTTTTTAGAGATGGAAAGAGCTGGAGCAAAGCCAAACCATGTGACATTTGTTGGATTATTGTCAGCTTGTGCTCATTCTGGTTTGGTAGAACAAGGTCGTTGGTGCTTTGAGGCAATGAAACGTGTTTACTCAATTGAACCGCAAGTTTATCACTATGCTTGCATGGTTGATATTCTTAGTCGAGCCAGGCTGTTTCAAGAGTCGGAGATTCTCATAAGAAGCATGCCGATGAAGCCGGATGTTTATGTCTGGGGTGCATTACTTGGAGGTTGTCAGATGCATGGGAATGTAGAATTAGGAGAAAAAGTAGCTCTTCATTTGATAGACTTGGAACCCCATAATCATGCTTTCTATGTTAACTTGTGTGATATATATGCCAAAGCTGGCAGATTTGGTGCTGCCAAAAGAATTAGGAATTTTATGAAAGAAAGAGATATAGAAAAGAAAATCCCGGGTTGTAGCATGATTGAAATCAATGGAGAAGTTCAAGAATTTTCAGCTGGAGGATCATCTGAACTTCCCATGAAAGAACTAGTATTGATCTTAAATAGATTAAGTAGTGAGATGAAGATATGAATACGTTGAATTATGAGCATAAGCATGTGCTTACATGACAAAATCTGCACATTGCCCTGTTAAACAATAGTGCAGCAATCAATTGGGGTGGCATGTGATATAATTTCTGGTCAACCATCACTCCACGATCTAGGCACTTTTATGTTGTTATTTAGGTTACAGTTGCCGCTCTGTAGACTGTGATGGAATTTTCATTCATTTCAACAAAGTGCTTTGGGACAGTTGCAAGGGACATACAAGGAAAACTCTAGTTGCTTTGAGTTTATAATTTTAGATTTGAAACTTCTGAAGACAAATTGATGCGATATAGACACTAAACTCTTCTAAAGAATGTTTGGCATCTTGTCAATAGAATCTTCACCGCATGTTTAATGAACATTTTACTTTCCCTTTTAAATATCTGGTGATGGAATTGAATTATATACAACGCAATGCCATTTGTTGGCTGAAAATGACTAACCATAATCTGAAAACAACATTGCTATTTAACAGGAAGAAAAAATCTCCAACACAAAAGGGTATGGAATACAGGGACACGCGTAAAGAAGCATATATTGTAGGACCATAAACATAGTAGGTTTTGTTTTCCAATCAAATTTGGATTAGAGTTTTACTTGACTAATTTACATTACATTACATGCATTGCATATTACCGAAGTGAAACACTAAATATGGTTAGAGAACAACATTTACAGTAGCTAGTAAGTATTCTCCTGTATTAATGTATGATTTAATTTGATTTCTCAGTTCAGATTGAATACAAAATTCTAAAATTTCTAATCATGACAAAAGATTACCTCAAGGTAAAAACCACTACATTCAAAGAATTAAAAGCAAGCACCAAATAGCTTAACAGCAGCAGCCCAAAGGCATCTCCGGATGTCTGTTATACAACACAAACAAGCAATTTAAGGTTGATTTGAAATCTTGACTGCCGGTCCGCAGTTGCAGACTTGTATCATCTCTTATTCTTTCCTTCATCAATTTCTCTCCTTCCTTTAAAACCAAGATCAATATCTTCTTCATCTTCATTTTCAGGGTCATCTATTTCCTCCTCCCAATCAGAATCAAACTCCTCCTCTTCATCTTCCGACAATGTCCGTTTCCCTAGAATTTCCTTCATCAACTCCTCGTCAGCTTCTATAGGCTTCCCCACTAAAGACCTCTGCAGTATAGCTTCAAACACAGAAGGAATAGCCTCAGCATCACCCTCTTGAAGTTTTGCGACACGCCTCTTCAACTCTTCAACCCAAATACAAAAAATAAAATTCTTTTTAGCAAAGACTCAAAAGATCAAAATCTGAAACCAAAGATTAAAATACAAACTGGCTCTTTCAATCAGTTGGCATTTCCATTAAACCTTATTTCATAACACCAAATGTTACCACCATGCTATCTAACAAATTATTTTAACAACCTTGTGTAAATAAACTTATATCGTCCTCGGAAATTTAGTAAAAAAACTCCCATGAATTTCACATAATAATAAGAAAAATTATATATAAACATTTACATTGCTAAATAATTAAAATATGTCATATTATGATAAAAATGGTTAACTTTTATATAAATTACTTTCCCATAACCCTTTTAGTTCGATAGTAGGAAGATGGAAGAAAATAAGAATTTGAACTAAAAAGAAAGTGAAAGGAGATTTTTTAATTTTATTTCTAGAAGTCAATTCCAATTTTACTTTCTTTTTCTCCTTCTACTTTCTCTCCAATCAAATAGAAGAAAATTTACTGTCATCCGTGCTTTCTTTTTTGTCTCAAACAAAACATAAGCTATTTAATCATATCTAATAGATGATTTTTTTATGAATTCGTATTATAAATTCGCAACACAAATAAATTAACATCTAATAATAAAGAATAAGATTGATTGGCGTGAGTGTTCAAAGAAGCATTACATCAAACACGTCAAAGGCACCCAAGTAATTAAGAAGAAAGAGAGAGCAGAAATTGAGGAAGAGAAGTATGAAAGTGCGAAGATGGGTGTTACCTTCGTTGCTAATGTCTTCAACGAGGGAGTGGGGTTTGTCAGAAGCATTGGAGCGAGAAGAGAAGGAAGTGGGAGCGGTAAGAGGGAATAGGGAAGCGGTGGGAGAAAGACGAAGACGGCGCGCGTGGGAGGACAGGCTTCTGAGAAAGATCGCATTCATGTTTTTGTCAGTGTTCCAAAGAGGTTCCTCCTACGTTGCCAATTCAAGCAAAATCCACAACCTTGATGGTTAATGGTACCAAATCCAAGGAACTTTCTTCTACGTTGAAATTAATAAAATTCAAGAACCATTTAACAATTTATTAATTTTAATGACCGTAGGCGTTTTTTTTCCTACTATTTGAAATATTTGAGAAGTTTATAGCATGTTATCTTTTAATTTGTTGTTTTATTAATTCTATTTTTTTTAACTAAAAGGTGATTGTGTATTAGTGATTCTGGTTTTTTTTTTAACTTTTCATTCACTTGAAAAATTGGGTTTCTCAAGTCCCCTTTATAATATTTTTGAGCCTTGTTTTTCTCTTTTTACACACCCAATATTTACACCATGTTGCTCTCCGCTCTTTTCTGCACTCCCTTTCTTCGGGAAACTAACACTCTTACTCTTTTTCATTGCTAGAATGACTTCCTCTTCCCAAAACACTTCATTTAAAATATATTTAATATTATGTTAAGTCATATTTGTTCGAGCTCTTCGCCCTGCACCTCCTTATTCTGCTTTATTCTCCTTTTATTATAATGTTATTATAGGTTCAAAACCGACCGAACGATAAAAGTGCAGAAAAGTCGGTCGACCGATGATATTTTTCAGGTCAATGAACTAATCGGTAAAAACAGTCGTTATGGTAATCAATAGTAATAACTATCGGGGAGTTAATGAAAATAATTTTCATTTATCGTCAATTAATATTGTCATTCATTGGTGATTAATGAGTCTGACCTAACGGTAAATTTATTATAATTTATAAATATTTGTGAGGACAGGTAACTTGGACTAACTTTGAACTCTAATAACTAATTTGAGCGTCGGAGTATCTTTTGTAGACACCTTTCCCCGCGGCTTGGACAAGAAGAAGAGAGAAGACATCGTAACTGGATGATGGAGCAAACAACTTTAAATGTTTTGGATTAAAGTTCTAAATCCTGCCAAAATAAATACGATTAAAGATAAATTATTTTTCAATTACAACACTTATTCACTTTCTTGGTGAATGATGATTCAATTAAAATAAAATATAAATCCAATTAAAAATCAAGGATGTTTTATGTTACACCTTTTAGTGGTTGAATGAATTTCAATTAAAATAAAACTTAATTATAATAAATAAATAATATATATANTCTTCATTTTCAGGGTCATCTATTTCCTCCTCCCAATCAGAATCAAACTCCTCCTCTTCATCTTCCGACAATGTCCGTTTCCCTAGAATTTCCTTCATCAACTCCTCGTCAGCTTCTATAGGCTTCCCCACTAAAGACCTCTGCAGTATAGCTTCAAACACAGAAGGAATAGCCTCAGCATCACCCTCTTGAAGTTTTGCGACACGCCTCTTCAACTCTTCAACCCAAATACAAAAAATAAAATTCTTTTTAGCAAAGACTCAAAAGATCAAAATCTGAAACCAAAGATTAAAATACAAACTGGCTCTTTCAATCAGTTGGCATTTCCATTAAACCTTATTTCATAACACCAAATGTTACCACCATGCTATCTAACAAATTATTTTAACATCCTTGTTTAAATAAACTTATATTGTCCTCGGAAATTTAGTAAAAAAACTCCCATGAATTTCACATAATAATAAGAAAAATTATATATAAACATTTACATTGCTAAATAATTAAAATTTGTCATATTATGATAAAAATGGTTAACTTTTATATAAATTACTTTCCCATAACCCTTTTAGTTCGATAGTAGGAAGATGGAAGAAAATAAGAATTTGAACTAAAAAGAAAGTGAAAGGAGATTTTTTAATTTTATTTCTAGAAGTCAATTCCAATTTTACTTTCTTTTTCTCCTTCTACTTTCTCTCCAATCAAATAGAAGAAAATTTACTGTCATCCGTGCTTTCTTTTTTGTCTCAAACAAAACATAAGCTATTTAATCATATCTAATAGATGATTTTTTTATGAATTCGTATTATAAATTCGCAACACAAATAAATTAACATCTAATAATAAAGAATAAGATTGATTGGCGTGAGTGTTCAAAGAAGCATTACATCAAACACGTCAAAGGCACCCAAGTAATTAAGAAGAAAGAGAGAGCAGAAATTGAGGAAGAGAAGTATGAAAGTGCGAAGATGGGTGTTACCTTCGTTGCTAATGTCTTCAACGAGGGAGTGGGGTTTGTCAGAAGCATTGGAGCGAGAAGAGAAGGAAGTGGGAGCGGTAAGAGGGAATAGGGAAGCGGTGGGAGAAAGACGAAGACGGCGCGCGTGGGAGGACAGGCTTCTGAGAAAGATCGCATTCATGTTTTTGTCAGTGTTCCAAAGAGGTTCCTCCTACGTTGCCAATTCAAGCAAAATCCACAACCTTGATGGTTAATGGTACCAAATCCAAGGAACTTTCTTCTACGTTGAAATTAATAAAATTCAAGAACCATTTAACAATTTATTAATTTTAATGACCGTAGGCGTTTTTTTTCCTACTATTTGAAATATTTGAGAAGTTTATAGCATGTTATCTTTTAATTTGTTGTTTTATTAATTCTATTTTTTTTAACTAAAAGGTGATTGTGTATTAGTGATTCTGGTTTTTTTTTTAACTTTTCATTCACTTGAAAAATTGGGTTTCTCAAGTCCCCTTTATAATATTTTTGAGCCTTGTTTTTCTCTTTTTACACACCCAATATTTACACCATGTTGCTCTCCGCTCTTTTCTGCACTCCCTTTCTTCGGGAAACTAACACTCTTACTCTTTTTCATTGCTAGAATGACTTCCTCTTCCCAAAACACTTCATTTAAAATATATTTAATATTATGTTAAGTCATATTTGTTCGAGCTCTTCGCCCTGCACCTCCTTATTCTGCTTTATTCTCCTTTTATTATAATGTTATTATAGGTTCAAAACCGACCGAACGATAAAAGTGCAGAAAAGTCGGTCGACCGATGATATTTTTCAGGTCAATGAACTAATCGGTAAAAACAGTCGTTATGGTAATCAATAGTAATAACTATCGGGGAGTTAATGAAAATAATTTTCATTTATCGTCAATTAATATTGTCATTCATTGGTGATTAATGAGTCTGACCTAACGGTAAATTTATTATAATTTATAAATATTTGTGAG